AGATCTGTGGATGAAATGAGATAACATAGGGACATGATGAGAATGTCGGAATAACTGTAGGGTTAATGTGAACGCCAACCATGCTTAGCGCCTGCATGTTGGATTAGACGATGCTGACCCACTGGCCGCAACCTGCACGCGCAGGGTTAAACATGACGCTGACCCACCGGCCGCAACCTGCACGTGCAGGGTTAAACATGACGCTGACCCGCTGGCCGCAACCTGTACGCACAGGGTTAAACAAAAGCTGACTCATAGGCCGCAACCTGTACACACAGGGTTAAACAAAAGCTGACCCATAGGCCGCAACCTGTACACACAGGGTTAAACAAAAGCTGACCCATAGGCCGCAACCTGTACGCACAGGGTTAAACAAAAGCTGACCCATAGGCCGCAACCTGTACACACAGGGTTAAACAAAAGCTGACGCATAGGCCGCAACCTGTACACGCAGGGTTAAACAAAAGCTGACCCATAGGCCGCAACCTGTCCACACAGGGTTAAACAAAAGCTGACCCATAGGCCGCAACCTGTACGCACAGGGTTAAACAAAAGCTGACCCATAGGCCGCAACCTGCACACGCAGGGTTAAACAAAAGCTGACCCATAGGCCGCAACCTGTACGCACAGGGTTAAACAAAAGCTGACCCATAGGCCGCAACCTGTACACACAGGGTTAAACAAAAGCTGACCCATAGGCCGCAACCTGTACACACGAGGTTAAACTAAATGCTGACCCATAGGCCGCAACCTGTACACACAGGGTTAAATATGACGCTGACCTACTGGCCCTGCACGTGCAGGGTTTAAACATAATGCGGACCCACTGGCCGCAACCTGCGCGGCAGGATTCAATACAATGCGAACCCGAAGGTCACGACGATATGAAGTGTTTAAACATGAACACGGTGACACGTAAATGTGCTGACTTGCTAAGACCACCGCCAGTTGTATGTATAAATACCGTTTAGTGTTTGGACCTTGGATAGCCTGCACGCACGGATGTCCGGGCGAATGTGGGATATGAAGGCGGAGGAGGACCACCGTCCGAGTTTGCCGATGTCCGGGTGAAGAGGGAGATGTAGACGATATAATGCCCGAGAGCTGTTAGCTTGAGTACGGTGATGCATGAATATCGTAACCTGGCTTACCACGAGCCAAGTGAGCATGAACCCGAGAATATGAATGAAGTGCAGGATGCACGCAGAAAAGACGTACACTTAGTTAAATACTGAGACATGACCCATGATATAGTATATCTTAATTAGCGTTAAGTGTGCCGGGATGAGTCATAGATGCTGATGAGCTGATTGAGTGATTAAGACTGTCTTCTATCATCTGGAGTGAGGATGATGGAGGGACGCTAGTGTTAGATCCAGCAAGTGTGATAATAAATGTGCAGCAATAGTGGAAATCTGAGTGTGCCGCTATGCGAATGATCTCATGCAGATATCCCCCCCAAAACGGAGGATGTGCAGTGCACGTCCTTAAGTCGGGGAAAACACGGTCGTCGTGAGGCCGGCGGATGCCACGTCCAGGAAACGGGAGATGATGCGTGCCGAAGAATCCGCATGCAAAGTACGGTTGTCCGGTGAGGAAGAGCAACTGTCGTTGAAGACTATTATGTGGATGCACGCAGTTGGTTAGAGGAACGTTAATACCATGAGCTTGATGTGATGGCTAGGAACTCCGGTGTGAGACTGGGCCTGTAGTTCCTCATGATTAGGAACGCTGTGCTCCTGGAGGAGTCTCTTCTTGTTTCTTCTTCTCTCTTCTTGTTTCTTCTTCTCTTTTCCCAGTTGAGCGGAGTTGTAGTTTAGTAATGTTGTATTTGAACGCTAGATGCGTGAAGGCAACGCATTAGGAGATCTCCCTGAGCAGTGGGTGATTTGAACTGGGGAGAGACGCTATTAATATTATTACCCGAATAGCCGGTGCACGCATAGTTTCTCCTACTTGACTTAAGGCTGAACTTGTAACTAATAAATACTCAGTTACCTCTAATCATTAACCCAGCTTGTATAATGTAGTTACTCTGTGTGTTGCTGCTAGCATACATAACATCTGACGTGGAAACGTTACTCGTGAATGGAGCTACAGAGCTACTAGAAAGACAGTGGAACCCGGTGCATTCCTCCGTCTGGATGTGGAGCACTTTTGCTAAATGTTTAGACAAAGTGCTCGTGTTACGCCCTTACATGATAAACTCTTATTGCACTTTGGCAACGAGCATTCTCCACATCGAAGCGGGTGAAGTTTAACCACGCCTCGGAGCGCGTTCTCTCCGCCACCTCCGCAGTGTCCTCCGCTGCATGTAGCAGCTGTGTGTGTAAACTGCCCCGCCCCCTCGCGATGGGGGAGATCTCATCTGATCGAAAATACATCGTAGGCGCATTTGTTTGTCCTTTGCATATTAGAACGCGTTGTGACACTCCGTTGGTGCACCAAGAAACGGAATATTCTTAGTGGAGAAGAAAAAGAGAAAAAACTATCATTTAGTCAATAATCATTAAATTAATATTGGGAGTGAATTCATAATTTATTTAGTATCTGGTCATAAACAGGATAATGTGCAGCGACTTGTTCATTGAGGAAAAGAAGCCCTACGAAACGCCATTCATTTCAGGAAACGCTGTGTTGAAGCTTGAACCTGCGTTTAGTTACTGAGCATTGTAATGAGTAATTACCCAACTGCATTAGTAATGCAAGTAATACGTTACTGAAACTCCATACTGTAGCACGTTACCCCCAACACTGCCTGAAGCTCAACTTAACCCTGACTAGAGGTAGCAATGCATAGTGTTGAACTTCCTGTCGGCTCCCAGACCGTAGTCGAGGGAAACGGGGGGGGGGTGACTATCTGTCGTCTCCCAGGGCAGAAGCACACACTTCTGGTTCAATAACCCATTTTATCGGAAAGACTGGAGAGAGGCGAGCTCTTCTTGGGAGGTCGTTGCATTATTTAGCTCTCCTGTTTCGCAAGATAGATTTCGCAAGATCACAGACCTTCCTTTTTTCTGCTGCCTCGTTTATTTCTAGAAAACATGTATCCCGCTCGCTCATACCATGCCCACGCACACATGCACATGCCACACCCCTCTCTTAAGGGGTAGCGATCTCACTCTGCATGACTCAAATGTCGTAACAATATACGAAACATCTCGTGAATTTCTTGCAACTGCCTTTGCCAACGTTACCCTGACGCCTGTTGAAGTGAGCGCAGGTGGAAATAGCTTCAATGGGATAGCTTAAGCCCTGCCTGCCTGCCTGCAGGAGGGGTTGTAGTTGAAGCCAGAATGGGTAAAACTCTGCATGTGATGAGGACCCGTTCCGCGTGAAGCCGGAAGCGCCGCATTAGGCGGCCCTGATGCCAGTGATGCCTTCTCAAGAGACTGAAGCGTACGTCAGTTGTTTGCGTGAAGTAGCCATTCCCATTAGGCCGGAGGAACTTCCATGGAGCCCGATTTCCTTGTCTTTTCCTCCCGCGTCCGGGCTTGCGGGACGGCCGGCTGACCCGCTACCCGACTGGGGAACGCCGCCTGTAGCTTAATCCGCGATACTGCGGAGCTGATGAATAAATGCCTGGAGCTGGAAAGAAGCCCTCGCTGGGACAAAGCCCTGCTGCTGCTTGGCTTAACCATGAACACCGTGACGCGTACACTTGTGCGTTGACACCTGAAATGACAACTGACAGAGAGGGAAGAGCAGATTTAAAGGGTTTAGCAGGTGCAATGATTGCTAGCTGGGGAGTACCGCCCCTGATTACTTAATGGGAGAGGAGCTTGCAGTGACGTGTAACACCAGGGGTATGGTCTTCCTTCTTGAACTTGCGCTAAGCTTCATTTCTGAGAGACAGTTGGTGAGAGTGGAGTGTGTTGTGTGGGTGATGGTTTTTGTTGAGATATAAAGTTGGATGTCATCGGCGTAGCAGTGAAAATGAAGGTTGTGGCGACAAATTATTTTGCCAAGGGGGAGCATGTAGAGGATGAAGAGGAGGGGGCCAAGCACCGAACCCTGGGGGACGCCTTGGGACAGAAGAGCAGTGGAGGAGGTGCAGTTGTTGATGTTGATAAACTGATGTCTGTTGGTGAGGTAGGATTTCAGCCAATATGTATGCATATTCCTTATGTATATGTGTAAATAGCACAAATGTGTTTGGCATCGCAGTTTAAGTTGCATGTCACCCTTTATTAATGTATTCCCTAGGCAGCACTATACTTTTATCAATTGGATTAGAATGATAGGATAATATGATGAAGTTTGTATTATTATTTGTATTAATCACTTTCAAACAGGAGCCATGCTTAGCTCTGTGGGGTTGCACTGAGGCACACTGGTGCTTTGTTGACATGCTGATGTTATGTTAACTAACTATAATGCAATTGAGTAAATTAGCTCAGTAAATAGATGACAGCGGCTACAGCATGTCCAGTCAGAGCACAGGCTATGTTTATTCCTCATTCCAAGTGTCATCAGATATGTTAAGCTTGGTTTAGTATTAAGACTTTAGCAGGGGGAGACAGTGACAGGCACTTAACCTAAATGAACAAACACAAGTAGTAATATAACAATGCCAATTAATGTAATATTATCAGTAAGATATTTCCTTCTATGACGATTTAAATTGCTTGCTGTGAAAAAGGCCTGTTGCTGGCCTTTCTGAACAATAATGTTAGCTGAACAAAACAGCTCGTTAGCATGCTAACAGTTAAACAGCTAATCAGAACCCAGAGTCTTGCTGGGCAAGTAGGAAGATGCCTAAAGACGTGGGAGGTAATATTTTCAAGGTCTGCTGTTCTTAATCTAATGACTGCACTTCCTTCTTAAATGTTGATGACTGTTTATCATCTGCCATAAGAAGTAACAAAGGCAAAAGGAACACAAAAAAAAGACAAACGTTCACTGGCTGCTTCATCTGTGTGCACAGTCACCATGGGTGTTATTTTGGAGAATGATCTCATATTGCTTTTAATATTCTTTGTCAATTTGATCTGTCTTAGGTTGGCATTGTACTCCACTATGCTTCTTTGTCCACCATGCTGTGGCTGACATTTACTGCTAGGAACATCTGTAAAGATGTGTCCAAAGACCCGCTCCGGGCCCACAAAAGGACCAGGTCAGCCCAGACTCGCACCAAACCAACTATCCTGAGGTAAGCTGTAAGCTAGTACGCACTGGTTTATGAGCACAACATCCTTCCTTTCAAACCCTTATGATAGTGTGATGTGAGGCAGCTTTAAGATGTTAAACTCTGTTGCAAGGATTATAGCAGTGATGCACAGGTCATTGGATCCAAAATGTGTTGCAGATTTCTATAAGACAATTCAGTGTGTTAAGCCAACCAGCCCTCATGCAACTATTGAGTGTCATGCAGACGTGCAGAAGTTAACATTGATACTTGGCTACTAGGTGCTGTCCATACATATCAATGGAAATACAAATACATATGTGTTGGATTAAACGTATCATTTATTTGCAGATTTTATCTTGTAAGTGATGGAATCCCTCTCATAATTGTTGGAGTTACTGCAGCATTTGGTATGGACAACTATGGCAGTCGGGATGACGCTTTGTAGTAAGTGCTCAGTATTTCTGAACAATCCAGTTTTCATTCAATCTTTAGAGAATAAGATAAATGTTTATGTCTCTGTGTCTTTTCAGTTGCTGGATGGCATGGGAACCAAGCTTGGGGGGTTTCTATGCCCCTGTGAGTTTCCTGGTCTTAGTGGTGTGTGTGTATTTACTGTGCTCATACATCCAGCTCAAACGGCACCCAGAGAAGAAGTATGAGCTGCGCCTGCTGAGTGAGGAGCAGCAGCAGCTATCCTCCAGCGAGTCAAACCACCACTGCCACACCGACACTGGGGGGGTCTCTGCGGGGGATTGTCCACCATTTGCAACAGGCGTGTCGGTGTTGGCCAATGAGCACTCGTTTAAATCTCAGCTGCGGGCCACAGCCTTCACCCTCTTCCTGTTCCTGTCCACCTGGGCTTTAGGAGCGTTAGCAGTATCACTTGGACATTTTCTGGATATGATATTCAGCTGTCTGTATGGGGCTTTTTGTGTCACTCTGGGACTCTTCCTTCTAATTCAGCACTGTGCTAAACGTGATGATGTGTGGCACCGCTGGTGGGCATGTTGCCCGTCCAAGTCTGAGGACAGGAATGGGGACATACAGAACCAGAGGCAGGAGCTCCATCAGCCTCACTGCCACCTGAGCTCCCCATGCTCCGGCAAGCAGCCTCTACTCTCTCCTTATATTGTGCCCAGTTCCTACCACACACCACCTTCACATAGTCCCCCAACCAATCACACGGGTCCGTGCTGCGTGGCTGTCATGAGTCCTGTTACTGCCCCCCTCTCACCTCTCCCTGAGCAGTTGCCCTCCCCTCATCCACAAACGCTCTCTGGGGAGCTCCCCCGCCCCACCCTGCCTCTTCAGAGCTGCCTTAACGACAGGACAAAATCCCGCTCCTTCAACCGTCCACGTCTATGCCTTCAAGACTACCGCTCCCACCTGACTTCCACCAGCATGGATGGGAGTGTGCACAGCCCCCACCTGGACAGCCCTCACGCACCACACCACCTCGCTGGATCGCCATTGATTTGCCAAAGCCCCCACCCAGACCTGCAGCTGCCCTGCCCCAGCCCTCTCTTGGATAAGCAGCTGGCTTCCTGCCAAAGCTTGTTACGCCAAAACTCCTGCCACAGCGTACAAGACTCAATAGCTTCCTGTCACAGCCATGCACACAACATGCATGACAGCATTACTTCCTGTCACAGCCTCCTCATGCCTTCTCACGGGGTGCACACCTGCCAGTGGCACATGTACAGCTCAGCGGATCACTCTTCTACTACAAGCTGCTGTGAGAAGCCTGATCCCTTCACCTTACAATATCAGCAAGACCCCGACACATACAGCAGTGTGTCAAAGACAAGAGATAAAGAAAAGGATAATCTCTGCGTAGAGGAACAGGGTTTCCCAAGAAACACTCTGCCTCGGCAAGGCACTATGGGCCGGCGAGGAACCATCGGCAGGAACAGGAGCCTGCAGGAAGAAGGACTGTTTGGGTCGGACGGAACAGGCACCATACGGACTGGCCCTTGGAAGAATGAAACCACTGTATAGTCTTCTTATACTTGTATCTGTACTCACTTGCAAGACCTTGTTCCAGCTGCCCTGTAATTGAATTACTCCTTAAGTGTTTGGTTCTCAATGCCTTCAGCTGACCCCTTTTCTCAGTGAGGCCTCGTATCCTGATATTTTACCAACCTTTATGACAAAGTTATCTTTAATTTTACAAGGGATAAGATAAACACAAAAAAGGTTGGAATAATTGTTTAATTATTATTCTGCTCCATTTAAAATTGCAATCAGCTTTTGGGACTTTTTGGGGCTTTGGGACCCAGTGGCTCTGTAGTTAGCAAGTTCACAGCAAGAAGGCCCCGAGTTTGAACCCCATACACATTTGGTTGGCGTTTTTAATGTTTGTGTCAGTTGATCCACATTCCTCATACATCCACAAATGCAAATTGGATTCAAAAATGAATTTTCTAAACTAAGATACTTGATCCAGAACCAACTCGAGGACAGTCAGACCCAAGCAGAGTAGACCCAAAGGTTGCGTTGACCTCTTAAACCTAACGAATATGAAAGTTGATCTTGCTCATAAATGCTATGTTGACCGGCAGTCATTAACAAACAAGTGCTGTTGGTTCAACTATATTGAGATTTAAAATAAGTGACAAGTAAGGAGCGATAAAAGGTTGTCAAAAAATACATCCACAATGCAGCAAAATATTGGCTAAACTCTTAAAAAGGACTAAGTACGGGTTGAGATAAAATACATCATAGCTGGATGTAAACTCTCGGCTTGTTTGTTAACACAGGGACACATTCACCTAGAATGAATTGAGGCTGCTGATAGCATCATGAATTGCACATCATTTTCAATTGCTGTCTCCAGGTCAGATTCGCAAAAAAAACACCCATACAGTTTTGCAGCTCTGTGCAATTTGCTCACTTTCTTGCACCTGATCGCACTTATCCATGTAACAAAGTATAAATGTTGCCTTTTCTCCTAGAACACGGTAGGCAGAACAATGGCAGAACAAAAATAAAAAAGTACTCTCAGGCTTCTATCTTCTTGTCCCAACTGACAAGGCTTTCCTTGTAACTTCAGGAAAGGAATTTAAACGTGACAGAGATAAATAATATTTTGTTTGTAATTTTCTATTATGATTTAAAAAATACAGTAATATTCTTTAGACATACTTAACACTCACAAACTCATCAACCAGAACGGAAAGCTGCTGTGTTCACTGCGGTTTTGGAGAAACTACCTTACTATGCTGACAGATTTGAAATAGTTTCATCAGCCATTGAGGAGGATTAACTATAATGAACATAAACATCTGCAACCCCCCGCTAATATACAGTGTTATGCAAACATTCAGTCAAATGTCACTGATTGCACCTTTAAATACTTGTATTGATAGTTTTGAAGACATTTTAAATGTGAGTGGTTACACATGTGAAAATACTTTTGAGTCAGTGTGAGCATGTGTGTGTTTTTATGTGTGCAACAGTGCATGAACAGATACATACAACTGTGGTGTGGTTTTGTGCTATATGTATTTATTATTATGGAACCACCCTTGAAGAATTTTAAATTAATTAATAATGATAAAGATGAATACATGAAGCCTATGAAGATTTCTATGGAGATACTTTACGTATGCTGCCAAACAGAGTCAACTAGACTCTTATCTGACAAATGTTGCACTAGTATGTACAATAGTAATTCACCCGGTGAGATAATAATTCCAAAAATACTGCAATGTGCTACAAAGCACAAACTTTTTATAGTGCCAAAATGATATGCCAGATTTCACTGTGATGAGAAAATACACATTACTCATTTTCAATGAGTGTTGAGAGGTCATACAGTTTGTAGCATCATACAAACTTGAACTCAGGTTTCAGAAGATCATCAGCAGCCATAAGTTATTCCAGAAACTTCCATGCTTCCTCCAGAGAGGTTTTAGCGCTTTACCCGTCATTAACAGCGTAGCTAGGCTCAGTTTCTGTTCTCACACAGTGACTGACCTAAGTTACTTTGGAAATCTAGCCTTCCAGACTAGCCTAGTTCAGGTAAGGCTAATTTTCAGGCCCACCTCAGCCTGAAAAATCTGTGAGATGATGGCTGTGTGTAGAGCTTTATGGAGCTAGGTAGCATTAGCTTAGCCTAGCATACATTTGTAGCATGTGACTTACCCTTAAAACACATACAAATTAGACAAACCAGATAAAGTGTGTTAAGTATTGACCTTAGAGGTGCTGGAAGGTGTGTTTTTGGACTTTGGACAGAACAAGGCTAACTGTTAGCGCCTGCTCTCCTGCTTTTTGCTAAGCTAAGCTAATCACCCACCGGCTCCACACTTAAAGGCACAGACATGAGTTACGATATTCTTCTTATTGGTTTTCAGATATAAAGTTATGTTCATAAAAAAAAAGAATAAATCCTGATGCTGTTAGTGTGAGGTCATTACTAATAATGATGATATAATCTTAATTATTAACTTTTTCTATAGTTTTTAACCCCATATTATGACCTTCACTAACAAATTCATTTTTTAAACTGAGCTCATTAATTTATTTTTTAGAGTAATTATTATCAGAGATACACATTTATCTTTTTATGCTCAGTGAAATGTATATCTGTGATAATGTTGTTTCTGCAAATATAATTTCTCTTTTAACAGGGTTGCCAACTCTCACGCATCTGGCGTGTGACACACGCTTTCACTCTCAATCTCACGCTCTCACGCTGCCCAAACTATTCTCACGCCAAAAACAAGATGAACCGGCGATCGTTTTTGGTTGGTTATTTACAATGTTGAGTTGACAGCTGCTCAAGCTGTCGATCCGCTCCCTCCCCACCCCCACCACTCTTAACAACGTTAACAGACAGCAGAGCAGTGGGAGCCGGTTGGTCAATCCCCGACCCGTTTTGCGCATGCGCAGATCTAAGATCCAGTAGAAATGATAGAAAAAGTAAAAGTCTGCTGCTTATTGTTCTACTAGGCCAAAATAGAGTCAAAGAGTATATGAGAGTGAGAGTGTGTTAATCAATATATTTGGCAGTTTGGAGTAAGTCTGTAGATGTGTGCGTGTGTTTCATGTATAGGCCTCTCACGATAATTAATTTAGTTGGATTCATTTTCCTGGAAATTATTGCGATAAACGATAATATTGTCGGCACCGTTGTATGACCATTTCAGACCACTGACATAATGATAATATATAATAATAATTCAAGTACATCCTTTCAAACTGCTACATCACATCACTCATGTAAATGGCAATTTATCGAGGTCATTTTTAATTATCGTACGATAAGTCAATTAATTGCTTATCGCGACAGGCACACAATAAAACAGTGGAAACAAACATGTGTTTGACTTTCATTAGTGAATGAAACTTTGTGCCCTTTATAGTCTGTGTCCAATATTGTGTATTTGTATATATTGTATATATATCCTATATGCTAAGGTCCCGCTGCTGACACAATAGCAGTCATTTTGTGCGCATATGTGTAATTAAACCCATGATATCAAAATCTCACTCCAGCCAGGTACCCAAAGTTGGCAACCCTGCTTTTAAAGATGTTTTCCTGTGCTTAAGATGTCTTGTCATGCCTTCGGAAACGAGACACAAACCCAACGCCGGTGAGAGATAGGTTTATTATTTGTCAAGGTTAATCCTGGTTTCAGTGAGCTAGGATCACTGAAACCAGGCATTTCAAAGAAAGCCATCCTTTTCGAAGTCTTCATGAAACACCTCTCTGGTTCATGGTATTTAACCGCACATTTGGAGTGAAAGTGCAGGCTGTTGAATTTGACTCATTTTTGCATTTTATTCTATTTTAAGGCCATAATCAGGCCTTCATCCTGGAGCTTGTGTTGATTTAGAGAGATGAGTCATTTCAGTCTGTTGTAGGTTCAACACAGATGTTCACTAATGTGTCAGCATATCCCAGTTTGATGTAGGCTTAGCTGTGATCATCAAACGACACTTAACCTCCGCCTGACATTGATGAGTGTGTACATGTGACGTGTCGTTATGTCTCGGTGTTGCGACAGCTTTAACATCTTCCAGGCCCGAGGCAGGAGTACCTGACACTGAAGGATGCTGTCCAGACACAGAATCTTAATGTGCCATTTTTTATTCCTCACTTCTATTGTGGATTTTCTCAACAGTGTACAGAAAACAACGTGACACCTTGTAAGACAAAGGGAGTAACAATTGGAGCACTGTGTGTTGTCTGCACTAGAAATAAAGATGTACTGTGCTACACAGCGTGAGTTATTGTTCTCTTTCTGTACAGGGCCGAGCTACCAGCATCAGTCATATTTCTTTTGCAGCTTCAAAAACGTCAAAACGTATTAATAATTGAATAGTAAACAGTACAATTGAATAACTAAAATACAGAAAAGCTTCTACCAGAATGTTACATTTCATAAGTTAATATAATCATAAAATTGCATTATTTTTGACACATTAATGTATATGTTCTACATTGACAGCCTTCTCTCCCTTTAGTTCTATTGAAATTCTGCTGACTTTCAACAGCAATTATTATGGGAGGAATATTATAGCACCTCAGTTATGTTGTTTTTCTTTTTTTAACAAACATGTCGGCATAATGTTAACTGACAACATGTTTCATTAGCTATCTTACAATATTCTAATATAAACTAGAAACTAAAGTATGATTCAAGTTTTTATGGTTTTATGGCACAACACAAGAGTGGCATATTAACATAATGTGGCAGATGGGCAGATGAGGAAGTTGAGTCATCCAGGTCATCAGCACCGGCCATGCATGTCTCAAACAGCACACACACACACACACACGGATTATCAGCTTAACGCAAATTGTCACCGTCACATACTGTAGTTGTCACGGTCGTGTGGATCAGTTGCCCAGCGTCTTATTAAGTGAGTCTGTCAAAAGGCTTATGAAGATGTTTCTGATTAGACTTGATTTAACTGTTGGGAAGTCCTCGGCTTCTTCCTCCACTGCATTGGGACTCTATTATTGTATGTTTTCTACCATGATGTTTTAGATCTGTGTGAACAATTTAAAACTGAAGCCTAAAGGCAGACCACGAAAGATGAGGAGGAATGAAACCAAGATGGTTGCCGTGTTGCTGATTTCTTGATGAAAAATGACATAACATTTCTGTCTGTTTATTTGTTTCCTGAATTGAACTGAAACCAATGTTGAGTTGAGGGCACCAGTCTCCCTGCTGCAACCCCCCAGCTCAAGGTTTGTGGTTTGTGAAAACAAGTCAGACTGCCCTAGGTTCAACATAAGGCCTGCATTCCTCCAATGACACACAATATTTGTTTTCATATACAATATATATATAATATAATAATATAATATTTTGTTTTGTTTCTGTTCTGATTTTATGTGAAGCGTCTTTGAGCATTAGGAAAAGTGCTTTACAAATCCCCTGTATTATTATTATTACAAAGGGATAATAAGAATAAGAAATACAACATTTAAGTAACAGTATTAATTAAAATGTCAACAATAGAATTAGGTAAAATGGTACTAGATATATAATTAAATTATGAATATGATCAATATATATAAATACCATAAAGTGGTGCATTAATGAAAGATGTTTGTAGTGTAAAGTTAGCATTGTAAAGTTAGCATAGCAAGGGCTGCGTACACAAAAACCTATGGGATTTTTCCGTTTATGATACTTCAGCAGGATATTATCCACATATTAACACCACTTTTATAGTTGTTAATGTGCAAATGCCATCCCCGGAAGTAAAAAGCATTTTAGTCACTTCTCGACCGTTGTTTTTTTTCATGACATTTAGAAGCTTCATACATTTGTGAGTGGGGTATTCACTGATGTGTTTTATGTCGTAAAATAAAACGCATGCTCATTCCCGCACCTCTCTATTGGCACATTTCCACTGCAGCGGGGTAGCCCCGTTTAAGGGTCCCTAAGCGTCCTCGCTCAGGCCTCGGGCTGCCTCGCTGGCCGGCCCAGGCCGTGGCGCATTTCCATTACAGTTTAGGACCTGGGGTAGCAACGCAGTGTAGGCGGGGCGATCGGCTTTTTTTTTCACATTTCGAGTTGTTCCGTCGAGCTCCCGCTGGATTTGATCATCCCCAATGAGATGTAGGAACGTCGTCACCTCCTCGGTCGACCACGGTGTGCTTTTCTTTGACGTTGCCATTTTTGTAGCTCCTCCGTTTACAAAAATGCTGCAAGCTTGCTTCTAGATAAGAAGCTCAGCGCAAGTTCAATCAGGAAGACCAATATCCTCTGGCTGTGACACGTCATTTAAATACTCTCTCCTCTCTCAATAAGTGATCGGGGGCATTACTCCCAAGCTAGCCAATCATTTCCCACCATCTCTCACAAGCTCTCTTCCCTCTCTGTCAGTTGTCATTTCAGGTGTCAACGCGCAAGCAGCAGCAGGGCTTCGTTCCAGCTCCAGGCATTATTCATCAGCTCCGCAGTCTTGCGGATTAAGCTACAGGCGGCGTTCCCCAGTCAGCTAGCGGTTCCAGCCGGCCGCCCCGCAAACCCGGACGCGGGAGGCAAAGACAAGGAAATCGGGCTCCACGGAAGTTCCTCCGGCTTAATGGAAATCGCCTACTTCACGCAAACAATTGACGCACGCCTTCAGTCTCTCGAGAGGGCATCACTGGCATCAGGGCCGCTCAAATGCGGCGCTTCACGCGGAACGGGCCCTCATCGAATGCAAAGCTTTACCCATTTCTGGCTTCAACCAGGCAGGCAGGGCTTAAGCTACATCCCATTGAAGCTACTTCTCCTCCCGGCTCAGTAGTAACTACTGGACACTAAGTGCGTCTAGGCGGCAGCAGGTTCCTTGCACAGCCCAGGCTCTCGCCTCTTTTCGTGCGCCTCACCTCTAAAACAGGCGTCAGGGTAGCGCTGGCAAGAGGCAGTTGCAACAAATTCACGAGATGTTCGTTATTATCATGACATTTGGGTCATGCAGAGCGAGATCGCTACCCCTTTAAGAGAGGGGTGTGGCGTGTGCATGTGTGCGAGGGTATGGTAGAGCGAGCGAGCGGGATATACGTTTTCTAGAAGTAAAACGAGGCAGCAGAAAAAGGATAGGTCTGTGATCTTGCAAATCTATCTTGCGGAACAGAAGAGCTAAATAAATGCAACGACCTCCCAAGAAGAGCTCGCCTCTCTCCAGTCATTCCGATAAAGTGGGGTATTGAACCCGAAGCGTGTTGCTTCTTCCCTGGGAGATGACAGAGAGTCATCCCCCCATGTTCAATCTGAATTTTCTTTAAAATAAAAAACATCTATATTGAATCTGACTTTTCTACATCAAACTCACAGGTTTATCATTACTTTGAGAAAAAAGATTATTAATGTAACCCTTTTAGAAGGGAAGATATGGTCATTTGTTCTGGGAATGTCATTTTCGAGCCTGAAACCTGAAAAACAGGCTCGGGGTTTAACAGGTTAAACCATTTCCTACACAATAACAGAATCTTAGACTCGTATAAGTGTTTCAAGGTGCGGTCGCGTTCTAGTCACTTTGTTCAAGCCCTACTGCTCGTTACAACTCTATTCGCTTTAGCGTAGGCTACTAGCATGACTGGTATTGCTCAGGGCAATCTCGATGACAAGGTCAATGTTCCCCCTTTCTACGCACGGAGAAAATGTAATCTTAATAGTGTGCAGGGCAAGGTGGCTCTTCAAAGCAGATATTAACGACGCGCTTTAAAGTTCCCATCCGTTCAGCGGAGCTCTTTCAGCCTCAAGCAGGAGTCAAGTAAGGAGAAACTACGCGTGCACCGGCTATTCGGGTAAATAATATTAATAGTGTCTCTCCCCAGTGCATCACCCACTGCTCAGGGAGATCCCCTCATGTGTTGCCTTTCCGCCATCTAGTGTTCAAATACAACATTACTAACCTATAACTCCGCTCAACTGGGAAAGAGAAGAAGAAAGAAGAGAGAAGAAGAAAGAAGAAGAGACTCCTCCAGGAGCACAGCGTGCCTAATCATGAGGAACTATAGGCCTAATCACACACCTGGAGTACCATCAAGCTCATGGTATTAATGTTCCCCTAACCAAACCGTGTGCATCCACATAAACGTCAATGCGTATACAGCAAACATCTCCAACGACAGTTGCTCTTCCTCACCGGGCAACCGTACTTCTCATGTGGATAATCTTCGGCACGCCATCATCTCCCGTTCTGGACGTGGCATTCGCCGGCCTCACGACGACCGCGTTTTCCCCGTCTCTTAAGGACGTGCACTGCACATCCTCCGTTTTGGGGGGAATATCTGCATGAGATCATCCGCCATAGCGGCACGCTCAGATTTCCACTATTGCTACACATTTATTATCACACTCGCTGGATCTAACACTAGCGTCCCTCCATCATCCTCATTTCAGATGATAGAAGACAGTCTTAATCACTCAATCAGTTTATCAGCATCTATGACTCATCCTGGCGTACTTAACTGCTAATTAAGCTAGACTATATCACGGGTCATGTCTCAGTATTTAACTAAGTGTATGTTTTTCTGCGTGCATCCTACACTTCATTCATATTCTCTGGTTTATGCTCACTTGGCTCGCGTTAATCCAGGTTATGATATTCATGCATCACTGTAGGCTACTCTAGCTAACAGCTCTCGTGCATTACTTGTCTACATCTCCCTCTTCGCCCGGACCTCGGCTCGTGCTGCCAATCCAAGATCTCTTCAGTTTACCTATGGTAAATATGCATATAACTGGTGGTGGCGTCTAATAGCATATCAGGGCTTTCGTTCAGATAGGCGCAGCCACCTCTGCTGCCAATCAAGGCATTTCTTCCTCATCCCTGCAACTCGGACGGTGGTCCTCCTCCGCCTTCATATCCCACATTCGCCCGGACATCAGCGCGTGCTGGCTATCCAAGGTCTCTCAAACACTAAAACATGGTAATTATGCCTATAACTGGTGGTGGTTTCATAGCACGTCAGCATGTATACGTGTCACTGTGTTCATGTTTAACCCCGCACGTCAGGTTGTGACCTCCGGGTCCGTGTTCATGTTTAACCCCGCACGTCAGGTTGTGACCTCCGGGTCCGTGTTCATGTTTAACCCCGCACGTCAGGTTGTGACCTCCGGGTCCGTGTTCATGTTTAACCCTGCACGTCAGGTTGTGACCTCCGGGTCCGTGTTCATGTTTAACCCCGCACGTCAGGTTGTGACCTCCGGGTCCGTGTTCATGTTTAACCCCGCACGTCAGGTTGTGACCTCCGGGTCCGTGTTCATGTTTAACCCTGCACGTCAGGTTGCGGCCAGTGGGTCGTGTTAGGTTTAACCCTGCAGTGCAGGTTGCGGCCAGTGGGTCTGCGTTTTGTTTAACCCTGCGTGTGCAGGTTGCGGCCAGTGGGTCTGCATCATGTTTAACTCCGCAATGCCAGGCGTTGACCCATGGTCGGCATTGATTCGGCAGTCGACCGCAGGGTCTGCATCCTACGATGTAATAGTACTTAAGCCCGGCAGTGATTCCGGCATTCTCATCATGTTCCCGTGTTAATCTCTCATTTCATCCATAGATCTCCGCAGTCAGCCCGTAAGGTAAGAAATGCATCACATCTCAGTACTTCATACTTCACTTATTTTGGGGGTTCATCGGAGCGGTTTTTCCTCTCCTGAATGATCATCCTGCAAACCGGGGCCTAATCGCCAAACATCATTTCATTCACTTGTTATTATCTGTCAATCACTATTCCTTCATATTATGTGTCCCGGTAATAAACATGTATTTCATACATCACGTCTCTCCTGATTGAAATATATGCGACGCTAGGGATGATCTCGCGCGCGAGCTTGTGACGATTCTCTCTGACCAATCAGCAGTCGAGAGTGTTGACGTCACTAGTTCAGCCCTGGCCCTGGTCTGAGGGAACCACGATTTTATGGGGCCGGAAAAAGAGGGAAAAAGTACCCGCTAGCCGGTGCTACGCTATATGGAAAGGCCACCAAAAACTGGCCTGGCCGCTTGAGGACGATTAAGGACGCTTAAACGGGGCTACCCGCTGCAGTGGAAATGCGCCATATGTGCCATTGTGCAGGTTGCTGACGTTTTATTTCCATGTGGGTCGAGCTAAGGTTGTGCAGGACTGGCCCTGGCACTTTGTGGTGCTGAGTAGGGAAGAGTCTTTGTCCGAACAAGTTCTACATGGGGGGTGGGAGGGGTTCTCCAGGATAGGGTCTAGCTTTCTCCTCGTCCTCCGCTCTGCCACCTCTTACAGAGCTAGCCTTCCTCACTAGCTTGTGTCGATGACCCCCCCTGTTATCTAGACTGAAAAGGAAACTTCTAGAGCAAGGCCTCATAACACAATGAGAACAAGGGAGAGCTCAACTTGTTGTCAGACACTGTATGAATTATTGGGAGTTACGGCCGGTGAATTGACAAAGACATTTGCTGCAGCCACAAGGTGCCACAGCTCCTGCCTTAACGATTCTGAAGATCTCCTCCAAAACCCAAGTATTTATTAAGTTCTAAACAAAACTATTCACAGCTTGAACGCTGACTTTAGGAGTAGAGAGATAACTGGGTAAAGGCCTAGGAAAATATTTTCTCACAGATCACCAGGCTCCATCAGCCTTTATATGTTCTTCATGTTGACCCACTCACAATCACTCAATGACATTATGTGACTAAAGATTCAACGTTGTATATTTACAATCAATGGCCTATTATCATTTTTATCAGAGCTGCTGTCGGAGATGCTGCCGAGACAGTATTTCACTTTATTTTATTTAAATGATATTACGTGCGTCGTGCAACATAAGAGAAAGAAAGATTATCCAAGTTTCTTGATTATTCAGTTTGACTTTTGATTGTTTTAATTTGTTTGACTATTTTTTGTTTTGATTAACTATGAGTCGCATAACATCAAGACATTACGAGAAGCCAGGCAGGTCATCACATCTGTAAGTAAAACTAATAAAGGAAAAGATAACGCGTTAGAAATGTTTGTTTGGAAGGGTTCTCAGTGGCTAAAGGAAACAAAGGAAGGAACTTTACTTTCAACAATGTGACTGATAGAGAAGAGTGTCTCAGTCTCATCCATCCATCCCCTCCCCCTGCTCTCCTCCACAGCCACGGGCCACTGGCCTGAACCACTCCAGCAGCAGAGGAGTAAGAAAGATGATGCAGACGTCCCTGATGTGAACATGACCTATTTTGAAGCCGTACAGCAGCCTGCAGACCTGGCCTACTGCCTGCACCTGCCGACAGGACATGCTATATGCTACACACACAGATAAACACTCTGCATCTCGCTCTACATACCATGACTCATACCTGATTATTGTAAATGTTCTGCACAAATGTCTCTGCTGCACACCCCTCCCTCTGGGCACACTTCTGCACATGATCTGTCTTCATGCACACAATATTTCATTCATTATATATTTATAACACAACATATTGTGGGTATATTGAATTATGTTATATATGTTTGATTCTATTATCTCATTTTATATAAATGTATATTATATATTCATATCCACTTGTCGTCACCAGCATTATAATTAAAATAGTTACAAATATATATATATACAGATATATAATGCATGATAACTTGAGAGTGAGTATTTATAGGATATTCAATCATTACATCACTGCTCAACAACACAGTGAGTATTCTGTGTATTTTGTATGCATTACTGTCATGAAATAGATTCAACATTACATTTAAAATAATGACAAAACATTGTGATTTCTTACAGTATGTACATCACCTCACATGCCAAATTGGTTATTTGTTTGCTTTATAACACAAAGTAGTTTCTATATCATATATGAAGTTTAGAAGGGTATTGTGTTAAATGTACTTAATCAATAAAATACATCTGTTGTTGTGCTTTATTTTGCTGAAGTACAGGTGTAGCACCAATACATATATCTTAAACAAGTTCTTTAATAAAGGAGTCTACATCAGAGCCAATCCAATTCTGATATATTTCATCTTTAACCAAAAAAACAGTTCGTACAAAATGAAAGGATTACGCAATATATCAGGCCAATATGATATGCTCTCACCTTAAAGAATACTGTATTCTGCTTATACAAGTCGCTCACTTTAGCCTTTTAGTTGAGTGTTTTCCAGTTTTATTGTATTCTATTTACACTTTCTATTTGTCTTCATTCAGAGAGCGATTGAGCAGGAGTTTTAGCGAGTCATTTTGTGTTCAACAAACTGAACAAGTAACAAAATAAATATTCTAAACAGAACAATGCAGAATGGATTATATCTCAAGGGAAACATTGTGAAGTGTAATTAGAAGTTGCTTTCCAGTCACAGTTTAAATGACCTCCAAGGTCAAACATATTTCATCATTCTCTTAGTATAAAAGGTTTATATATATATATCATATACTATGATAAGTGTGTTTTAAGCTTTTGGACAGGACCACGGTCAGAAATGATAAATGAACACTCGTGTTTCTGTGCAGGGAATTCATTACATCAGAGGACTTGTGTTTATTATTGTTATGAGATATTCAGTTAAGTTTGTTGTTATCAATGGTTTCCAAATAAAACAAATCCACAGCATCTGTGCGCTCCATACAGTTCTTTGAAGTCCTCTATTAATAAGAATATCTAGTTCAAATATAGTTTGATGCCAAAAATGTTTTCTGTGGTTATGCCCACATGGGATTATTGAGCTAACTCAGTCAGATGGGACATCCTGTAATATGTTGTCTGGTGCTGCCCTCGTGTGGATCTTCTCAGCATCATCACTTTTAAACATCCATCAGAAGGACAGGCTACTTCATTATTCCTGATAACAATAACAAGCCACCACAATAAATCCATAGGGTATGTACATTTATTAAAGGGGAGTGAACCACTAAGTTGAACAAAATAATACAGTACTCATTGTCAACCTGCTAAAGGACATTCGAGGCACTTTGCATGAGGAAAGACTGGGGAAAGATGTGGACAGGAGCAGTGTACTGTACATGGAGTTGTGTTTATGTACAAACTCAAAACAGATATCAAATATTATTCACGTTTCAATTTCGGCTCATACAACGGACACAATTAGCTGATGTAGTAGTGTATCACATGAGTGGTTTGTAGTTATCACAGTTCAGAACTCGTGTTAGAAATCCCATCAACTGTTTACATGTTATACCACCAAACAGTTCTTTGGCCTGAGAGCAGAGAAGAAGACTCTGTGCATTCCCATCAGAAACATGAAACTCTGAAACAAACTGAAATAAAAGCCAGAAGTCATTTGGTGTTGGCATCCATTTGGCTGTGATCGTTTTTAACTGCATTAGGGGGTGAGCTCCAAAATAAGAAAACGTATAAATACAATGCTAGTCTAAATTTGGAATTAAGGAACATTTATCTAACTTATATAACTTTAATGAGCCTTGTGTCTTAAGAATGTACAAGCTGAACCTCAGTCACTGTCTTCAAGCAGTCTGTACAGAGAGCTAGGCCTATGCTGACTTGGCATATCTAAAAACACTCTGTAGCCGGGGCACTTTGCAGAAGTATTGGGTGGAGGGATACGCCGGTGTTCTTCAAGAAATAGTGCCAACTCCCCCTTAAACCACAACACAGATTTAATGAACAGCGGAGGGAGCTTTCAGGTGTAGGTAGAGTGTTTTTGACTTTACCCTGCTTCCCCTCTTTATGCTAAGCTAGGCTAACTAAGCTAACTCCAGCTTTGTAGTAAGGACACAGACATTTCAATCTTCTCAGCTCACTCTAAGTAAGCATATTTTCCATAATGTTTAACAATGTCTTACAAAAGAGAAGTCCCCATAATGCTAGTGAAGGTTTATGCTTGTTTGGTTCCATTTGTAAGTTACAAATATGAGTGGAATGTAGATACTACACATGATACATTTGTAGGAGTGTTACAGAAAATGATTTCAGGGACTTGACCTAATGTGGAATAAATGTTTGTTGTTGATGATTGTAGCAAAGATAAAGATGAACATTTAGTAAATGCTGGTAAAATTCAGGACCTGCTGAGGTCAGAACTTCAGTAATTTAGACGTGCTCCAAACAAGCATTGTGAAAGTATAAAAACATCAGTATGGCTTACATTGTTCAATCACTTGCATATTAAATAGAATAAAACATGAATTCCACAGATCCATCATCATGTAATACAATCATTAACATCCTAAAGAAACAAAGTCCCTGTCCTGTCGCCATGAAAAAAGTGTCAAACGTAACATTGAAACAAATGTCCAAATATTGGACTTGATGGTAGGGAACAGATTAAATAACAGAATGCAAGAAGAGTTGATACAGAGTCCAGGGCTCCTACTACGGTATAAATGATTACAGTTTTAAAACAAATGTGACAGTAACTTTAAATTCATTACTAAAAGTATGTTTTTTTGTTCTATAGCAAACAAGCCATTTCAGATTTTTTTACACACCCTAATCTATTCCTGTAAAGTAAACATTGTTGTGATTTCTGGGGAATCCAGCCAACCCATCCCATCATAAAAACCACCATCGTCCTTCTGACCCTCAGAAATATGTTTGACATTATTCTGGTTTATACAGGTTTGATTACCTTCCTAACAGGCTTTCAATGTGAAATCATTTCAAATGTTGCGGTTGATTAACGGTATCTTAAATTACAAAAATAAAAGCAATTGGATTTGTTATATTATTATTACCAAGCCATTATTTTAAAACCTGCTTTAATATAAGAAAGGTAATATGTTTGACCTACAGGTAAAGCCATTGCTCAATCAACAGGAAAATGTTTTTTCAACTTTTCAATAGTCCGTTTTTCAGACAAAGATGCTATATACTGCACGATTCTGGCTTTTAAATGGAGATGATTTGCTCCTTTAACTCGTTTGATGTGATAATAAACGTAGTATCTGTGGGATTTGGACTGAAAACAAAGACTAAGTTGCAGCCCTAGTTTAACCATTGTTCTGCAAAGGTATTTTATTAAACCAACACTGACGGCAGACTTAAAAGATAACTTGGGGAAACTCTCAGCTCTAGTTATTACAAATATATGCTACAGGTTGGCAAAACCCTGACAAGGAAACTGTTATCTACCCCTGATGATAGAATAGAGTAAAATGAAATCGTCATTAATAAAACATCATACAAAATGTAACAATTTGGACCAGAACATTCTTCCATGACAAGCATTTAACAAAGGAGTTGTTATGCAAGCTTTAAAGTTAAGCAAATAAGATACTAAAGTCCCTTAAACTAGGCATCAGCTTACTTAAAATGTATGAGCAAAAATGACAAACAAGATTAATATGAAATCACCTGAGCAATTCAATCCAGCTCAGAATACTCCTGTCCCTTTAATCGAACTAGTGATCTTGCAACTCTCCTAATTACAGTGCACCATTTTCGCAGTTCAATGTGACCTGTGCATGCATGATAGAGATCATGCTTACAGTACAGTTTACCAGAAAATGCACCTATGAAAAGATAAACTATGATTTGCTTCAGAATATGTATTTACAGGAACACAACATTAAACAAAAATAGTGTGGAAGGTCATTAAAAATATACAACTCGAACCATTTGTTTCACACCGAAAAAGAGAAGTTATTCCACTCGGAGGTGATTTGAAATGTTCAGAACAGTTTATTCCAGTCTCTAGTTGCCTCCATGAGGTGTCGCTGGCCGTGGCCAATCCAATCTTCTTGGTTGTTAAAGAGCCGACCACAAAACCAGCAGTCAAACACCACAGCCTCTTGTGCACAACGTGGTCGAGGGTCAACTACCTCATACTTCTTTTTGCTCTTTTTCCTCAACTTCATTTTCAGGAGGAACCGCTCTCTGACAGAACTCAGAACTGGCCGGGGTCTTGTATCGTCGCTATGAAACGATGCACCTTTGGTCAAGGAATTCTTCCAAAGAGCTCCTTGCTCAGAGAGAGCTTGGATTGTTTTCTGAGATAGAGAGACTTTAGTAACTGCACCTTTGTTCCTGTTTACTACCTTCATAATATTGGCCACCTCGGGAATGTCAGCATCTGGATGATTGAGCACCACAACAGGTTGGAATCTATGAGGGCATTTGATCTGCTGGAGAGAACTGAACGGGGCAAGCCTCAGTGTCCTTTCTACTTCTTTGGCTATAGGCTTCCATAACAGAGTAGTCTCTTTCTCAGGCAGTCCTTTATTCGAGAGTCTTCTAGCTTTATGCACTGTAGCTGGAAGCTCGTCGAACAATGTTTTCCTGCGCCTTTTCCTTTGGCTTGGGGGACGAATTGGCCTTGGGGCTAGGATAGGTTTCTCTGCTTCACACAGTTGAAGCTTTACATTCATCCGAGAGGGTGAAATACAAGATTCATTGACATCTATTTGTGCAGTATTGTGTATTGGGATGAATTTTGTTACTCCATTGGATGAATTTGCATTGGTTTTGTTTGATGACACCAGAAAACACTGGGTCTGAGGTCTGGTGGCCAAAAACAAAGGTTGATTGCTTGAGGTGGGAGCACCACTTGTGAGAAGGCTTCCTGTAGGACTGACAATTTTAAACATGACTTTGTTTCCAGTACTTTCACTGGTTTGGCTACACTGTGTTCCAGTCTTTGTCTCTTGGTTATTCAACCGTAATCCTGATTTGGGTGGAGAAATGTAGCGAAGCAAGAATGCCTGGCGCCCCGTCTGCAAAGTGTTGGCTTTATCTGTAGTGTTCACAGGCATGGCCAGAACGGGCTTTGAGTTCAGTGGGAGTTGTGTACTTGCCAGTCTGAGGCCAGGAGCACTGGGGGTCTGACCAAATGGAACCGACCTCTGTACCAAGTAGCAAGTTGGCTGTGTCTTTGCTGTTTTGTCTGTAGGTGTATTATGTGGTGTGCTTGAAAAGAGTACAGGGCCCTTTAACCCTTGGCTGTTGATAAGGTAGTGATTTGAGGTGGTGCCAACACCTGGTTGAACAGCAGAGAGAAGTGTTGTCCCTTTTTCAGAAGCTCCTGCCTTTGGTGCTGATGCACCTACCCTCCTGCCATTTTCAAACCCTGGCTTCATATAAGATACGTTGATCTGGGGACTTGCAGAATTTGTTATCAGTTTGAAACCTGGAGTTGCCTTGGGCATGGCACATTTATTCTCAGTAGTTCTCAGGAACACTGACTGCTTACCCTCTGGCAACTGAAGAAATCGAAGAGCTGTTTTAGTTTGTTTTAGAGAATCATTACTAGAGAGTTCAACTCTTTCCTTATTTAGTTGTTGCGAAATTATTGCATCTGAATGTTCCTCCACAAAATTGCCCAGGCCAGTTGAATTACCCTTTGTTTCTGATTGATTGTCAGATATAGGAATGCTATCCTCCTCTATTTTGATAATATTAAAGTCTTGGAACACTGAATCAGGATTTTCATCCTCAGTGGAAGGATCCTCAACACTACCTGTGCCCTCATCAATGTCACCATCTGGCACATCTTCTTGATCCGAGTCCTCTCCTGGATCTGGAGACTCTGCCAATGTCAACCTAAACTGTGATGATTCACACATATTTTCTTTGTCTGCTGAATGTTCCGACATATTGTCAAAGTGTTGGGTAGATTTGGGTGGAGTGCCAAATGTTTCCTTGGAATAATTGTGAAATGTAAATACTTCTTGGTTTGGGGAGTTTTGTGTGTTTGAGTTTTCTGAGCCTATAGCACTTTCTCTGCAGCTTCCTGTACTGGGTTGGGCTAACTCTGATTGAAGTGATGGATTAGTCAAATGCTTAACATTTAGCTTGCTGTTGTTATGTTTAATCTGACTTTTACCTCTATCAGTTTTTTCTGGAGTACTCTGACAATATTGGTCATCATTGAGTTTATCTGCTTCTGTATCAGTCATTAATAACTCATCTGCAGCCCCACAATTCTCAATAGTTTCTTTGGAAACGTGTTCTAAAGACAATATTTCCTGAGCAACTTTTAAAGGTGAAGATAAAGTAGTGATCTTCCTAGCACATATTGGTGATGTATTACTGATTTGAGGACCACTATGGTAGGTTGAATCAGGTTTCAATGTTGCAGAGACTGAATTATTATCGAACTTGCTTCTCTCTGAGCAGGTTATCTGACTTGCGTGATTTTTTTTGCCTGCATGATCAAACTCATCAGTCATTGGGTATAACGTATCTGCACAAGTCGAAGACCTTCTAGGTAAAGGGTTAGTTTGCTCCTCTACGTCAGCTCTAGGTGGTGTGGAATCAATGTTGCAAACAGAAGTTTCTTCCTCCTCAATCTTTACTTTAACTGCCAGAATATCGTCCTGATCCATCGGTACGGAAGACCCACTTCTTGGTGAAAGAGCTAAACAATGTGATGTTAAGTTATTGCTGTTAGAGAATTCCCCATTCTCATTAGAGACTTTACTTTTATCTGACTCAGGATTTGGTGCTGAGCCAACATCTTCAACTAGGGAGTGGTTCTGGATGGATGAATCTTGCTTTGCTGTTGGTATTACTTTGAGTACTAAATGTTTTTTGCCATCAACCATCTTGAATCCCATCACTTTGGTAGTGCAGTTGGGGGGAAGAGAGATTTTATTCTTCACCATCAGAACAGTCAGTCCATTTGGATTGGCGAGATTGGCAGCATCAGAGCTTGGAGAGGTGTCACATTCCTGTAACATCTCTGACATTGACTGCTCTTTATTATGAATACATTTTCTTTCCTTTTTTGCATCCACCAAGTGGTTGGTCTCCTCAAAGGATATCTCTGGTTTGATTAGCCTGCCATTTTGGTTTTGACTTCCAGAAAGACAGTTTAGTTTTGATATCCTCTGAGCTTCCTGTGATTCACCACCCTTTTTCAACAAATGTTTTAAGCTTGCAGATGAATTTGCTGAAGTGCCGCTGTCTTCTAAAGCTGTCCATACATTCCGTCTCTCAGCATGCTCTTTGTGAACAGCTACAGTGTGTTTTTTAAGATAGTCGCTTCTTGATGCACCATATCCACAGATCTGACAAGTGAAGGGGAATGTACACGAGTGAGCTTTCTTATGCTTCTGGTGAGCCTCTTCATTCAGGCTGATATGTCTGCATTTTAAACACTTCCAAGGACTCTCATTGTGATGATGGATGTGCTGGACGAATGTACCTGCATCCACAGTTGTAAACTCGCACCAGTCACAGTTAAACTGTCCATTTAGACTGTGACACATGATGTAGTGTCTGGTAAGCAATAGCAAAGAGTACTGAACATCGTTGTTGCAGAGCTCACATGTAACCAGAGTATTCCTGTGCTCAATCCGATGGCGTTGAAGAGCAGGGAACTCGTGTGTGGAAAAAGCGCACAAGTCACAAGGGTACGTAGGAAGGGTTCCTTTATGGGCCGCTCGGAAATGCTTAAGGAGATCATTGGGGCTATATGTGGAATCATCTTTACACACAGAGCATCCAAAGCTCAGAATCTTTCCAGAGAAGACAGCACCTTGCTGAGTTTTACAATGGGCCTTTTTAAGACTTTGTTTCTCTTTCTTGGAAGAACTTCCATGGTCCTTATTGGAAGATTCTTCTGCATTATTGAAGAGCGACCCGTCTGCCACTTCTCTGAAATGCTTGTACACAAAGTCTTTGACCTTTTCTTTTTCATCTCCCGTGTTGCAGTTTTTCAGAGAATCAGTCAGTATTGTGAGGTCTTCTTCCATAGTTGTAAATCTACAGATATCTGGAAAGTAAACAAAAGAGTTTTCATTAGCAGTCAGACGAGTCCCACTTACTCTAAATGCATTTATCAACAAAAGGTTTTATGTATGTAGTACAGTGCATGCATTCTCAGTCAACAATGACAAACTAAATAGCATTTACATTTTAGAAGGTGTGGAACAAAAGTGACAAATTAATTAAATGGCCTAAGAACTTTTTTAAATCAGTAGTGTCATAAATTGTTATCAAAAAGTAATTTGAAGCCCGTACTGGCAAATCTCAAAACAAAAGAAAATTAAATTGGTGAAAAAATAATATTTGATCAGTGCAGCTATTAATGTAAGTAGCCGGCATCAAAATATACTTAAAGTAGCAAAAGTAAAAGTACTTGTTATGCGTAATGGACCATTTCAAAATCATATATTAAATAAAAGGATTGTGATTATTGAAGCATTAACGTGTTCATCACAGCTACACAGTGCAGCTAATTTGAGTTGCTTTATATATTCCTGCTAGATATTTAACATATGTCTGGATTTATTTAATGATTCATATTTTGTATTTAGATATATAATCTAAATCCCAAATGTAACTAGTAACGTAAGCTTTCAAATAAATGTATTTGCTTACGAAAAAGTACAATATTTGCTTCCAAAATGTAGTGGAGTAAAAGTATAAAATGGCATAAAATGGAAATACTAAGGTAAAGTACAAGTACCTAAAAATTGTAGTTAATTACAGTACTTGAATATGTGCACTTTGTTGCTTTACTACGGAGCCCCCTAGGGACATGGAGAAGAGAAAAAAAATTATTTGAAAAAAAAAAATAAGTTTTGCGAGATCTCGCAAAACCCCGTTGCAGTTTGTAGACGGTCCCTAAGCATTCCTCTCCCTCCTCCAGCTGCAGATTGTGACCAATTCTTGAAGTTTAGCTCGGATGACGGCGCGTATCGAACTGTTCTGATAAAAACGACTCTGTAGCTCGTTGTCTACCTTGCTATGATTGTAAAGTCACGTTGTTTGTATTTTGACAACGTTATGTTCATGAGTAATTGATCCGCAAAATTCGAATCTGTCAATAACTCAGCTCAGAGTATGCTTTGCAATGTGCATGTCCCCTCGCTCTGAGTGTTCTCTTGAGGTTTCACTTATGTGAAACCTGTGCCTATTGCCAAGCACTGATGTTATATCTTTATATTTAAGGCCAAGCTCAAAGTAAAATCGATGAACCGCTCCATTGTTGTGGTTTCTGTGTTGCCGAACTGACCAGGAAGTACATTGAGCTAAATGGAAAGTTTTGCGAGATCTAGCAAAAGTATTGCGAGATCTCGCAAAGGGGTTTTGTGAGATCTCGCAAAACATTTTTTTTAATCAAATAATTGTTCTCCTTGTCCCCCTATGGGGCTCCGTACTGTACACCACTGAGCACACAGCAATACAACCCACAGTGAGTGGCACAAAGATGGCTCACGTAGCCTGTATAGGCCAAAGTTGAAGTAAAACTATCTAACACTCCATCAATCAATTTAGTTATTGCCAATAATAATATGCATTTTGTTATAATGTTGTATATTGACTAGGGGTGTAACGGTATCCGTATTCGTCCTGTACCGTCACGGTTCGGACGTCACGGTTCGGTGCATGCAGTCACACGACGAATACGCCTTTTTTTACAAGTGGGAAAAAAGTCTGTCATTCAGGGCAGTATCCATTACACTATTTATAATCCAGGGGGCGGTATTGTGCCTAAAAGCTGTTTGCCAGCCGCCCTTAAACAACAAATGAAGAACAAGAAGAAAACACAACAAAACGAACAAAATACAAGAAGAAGAAAAGTTAGTATGGCGAGTTCAGATAACACACAGGAGCTAGAAGACCCACCTGTTTCTTTTAAATCAGCTGTGTGGGAACATTTCGGGTTCCCTGTGGACTACAATAACGATGCGAGTGGTGGATCGGACGAGGACGGTGTGTCGGCGTTGTTCGACAGCGGTGCGGTATGCTAATAGTAACACACGCCTAACATGCTAAATCATTAAAAAACTGGTTCATGCACTCGTCTTCTCAAGACTAGACTATTGCAATGCACTCCTCTCCGGTCTCCCAGCCAAATCCATCAACCGCTTGCAACTTCTCCAGAACAGCACAGCCAGAGTTCTCACCGGTACAAAAAGGTCCGCACACATAACCCCCATACTTGCAAAACTACACTGGCTCCCGGTCCACTACAGGATCCAGTTTAAGGTTCTGCTCCTCACGTACAAAGCCCTGAATGGACAAAGCCCAAAATACCTCTGTGACCTCATCCATACCCAGACATCTACCCGCTCTCTCCGCTCCAGCCACGCTCCTCTTCTTTACATCCTCCGCACACGTCTCCGAACAATGGGAGACCGAGCCTTCTGCTCACTCGCCCCGCGCCTCTGGAACTCCCTCCCAGATCAGCTGAGATCTGCCCCTTCCACCGAGGTATTCAAAACCGGCCTTAAGACCCTCTTCTTTTGGCAGGCCTTCCAATAAACTTTGAGCATGGTACACCTGGAGTACTGCCATTTTTATCGCTATCACCGACTTTTATTTTTGTACTTTATATTTTATATTTTATTTTTTGATTTCTTATTATTATTACAATTATTTGTTTAATCTATCAAAGTGTATTAGTATCCTTTGTTGTGAAGCACTTCGAGATTTGTCTTGGCAGATGAGAAGTGCTATATAAATTAAATGTATTATTATTATTATTATATCAGAAGGCATCACCCAGATTTGCCAATCACCGGAGCCCGGCAAAAGACAACAGCAGTTGCAGTTCAAACAGCTTATCCCCGCTGTTTTTAATAAACCAATAGACATGAAAGCTGTGAGACCAAAATAAATAACGGAAGCTATTGGCATATGTTTTTCAACGGCTATGCAATAACGGCTTATGCAATAATAGAGGACCCCGGCTTTTATTGATTGTGATTGAAAGTGATTGAAACACTATCTTGTTATTTATTTTTGGAATATTTTGAAGACATTCTTTTTAGTTTTACAGCTTATTGACATCAGCCATTATAGATAATCTGGCCATCTGAGTGTGTGTGGTACTGTTTGTGGTTTGTTTTTAACTGTGTAATAAAGTTAATTATTCAAAATGTTAAAGTTCCTTATTTTTAAACTGAAACTTGCACTACTGTTCAAAATAAATAATAAACAAACCTGGAATTATGCATTTGGGACTTTTTTTTTGCTTTTTCTTGTTGTACCGAACCCGTACCGAACCGTAACCCCAAAACCGAGGTACATACCGAACCGTGAATTCTGAGAACCGTTACACCCCTAATATTGACACACTTCCCCCATTAATGACCCCTCAAATTTAGAGGAAACAATTATCTTCAGCTCACCGTAAAAGCAAAATACAGATATTGAAAGACATATAGTCAAAACTGAATCTCTGGTCTGCATACCAGCGTTGTCAATGTAGGCGGAAGTGACACACGCTGCTTGGCTCAGACTGCTGCCTGCTCACTGAAAGCTCAGAGAAACAAATGACGCCAATCTGAAGACTAAGTCTCTCCTCCCTGCTTGCATGCAAATTATCTTCTCACAGACCTGTTTTTGCTCCCATGCTAAGCTCTCAATTACAGTGCAAATCTCACTGAAAAAATAAACCATTTGAGACCACATTTGCCTTTGTAAAGCCTCAAGCTTACCATGACATTACATTGACAGCTTATTGACCTTCACACACCTCATATCTATCTCCTTTGGGCTTGTGGCTTTGCTGGAAACTTGCACAGTTGCTGTTGAAAGTAAGACATTAAAACAGAGCTGATAATGTCCTACATGGCCCAGCATGTTGTTCATTCAATGAACCGACCACTGTGACAGGTTTTTTTGCACTGAAAAATACAAGAGCATCATGCAGCTAAAGCTAAACTGCAAAGAGTGAACAAAAGTTTTTTAAATAATGTCTACTGTATCGGGGGGACTGGCTCCACACATTATCCTTCTGCTATAGGGAAACATTGCTCCGACTTGTTTGTATTTCTTTAAACCAATTATGACTGTACTGGGTGGCGCTAAAAGCATGCAGAAAAAGCACAGATAGCGTTAGAGGGTTGAGAATGCTATGTGCAGAATTTTTATTTTGAAGCACCCTTTCCTGCTGTATAGATTGCAGTGGCGAACCATGTCTATCACAACTGGACCTTCTGTAGAGCCGCCCACCTCCCCTCCGCGGCATTATAATGTCCGTCTTTTCACTGAATTGTCGTCTTGAAAAGGGTACTCACAACAATTCCGCAACAACTTCATCTCCACCTGTTGCACTTGCCATTTCAACGTTAAAAACAATAAAACGGCATGAATTGCTTCGTCACATTCATCTCTAGATCCTCTGTCTCGAGCCAGTTAACTAGTGAGCCTTCTAGAGCACCCTGGAACCGAGGGGAACTCTGAAAGAATACGCCCATTGGCTACAAATCAATATATGATTGGTTGATCAAACTGTCAGTCCAAACGTACGCTCTCATTCAGTGCAACGGCCAGGGCCTTCGATCAAGGATGTAGAATACCTTGGTTGAAGGATAACAAGATCTGATTGGTTGCTTTCTTTTCTTACACAAAACCACTGAAATGCGTAGTGCATGGTCCGAGAAAGACAAACAAATCAACGTAACACTGTAATATTACAGATCACCAACACAGATACCATTCTCATTTATTCATTTTATATACATTTTATTACATTTTATTTATATAATTAAATCGATTTTTTGTTTGTTTTATCTGAGTGTTCCAGGGTATTCTCTGAATACCTTGAAGGCACTGACGGTTCGCCACTGATAGATTGTTATGCTTATGGGTCGCTACTTGGCAGAGAAAGCTAGCTAGCTTGCTCTACAGCAGATAAACCTTCAAATGTAATTACATACAACTGAGCCCCGCCCTGTGGTTCACAAAAGTTGAATATTTTGCTGATGTATTTGAAAAGTAGAAAATGTTGAGTGTTTCTCTGTAATATCTGTAAAAATGTGAGGCTTTTAAAAAGAAGATTGCACTGAGGGCACGTCATGTTTTCCAGAGGAAGATTTGACATGTTTCTCAACCTTTTCCCACAAAAGGCAACACATGACACATCAGGCAGAGATGCTCAGACAAAAGCCATTATGGCACATCATGCTAAACTGCAGCTCGAGTAAATCATTACGGTCACAGCGAGACGCATGGACGATGAGTAGATAAAATCCAATATAGTCGATGTGGACAGCGTCACAGCCTCAGCTGTTGGAGCGTTTTATGTGACAGCAGGCTGAAGGGAAACCCAGCGAGGTGAGCGCCTCTGTCCTGGTGCATTGTGATGAGTGTTCCTCCCTCACTATTGAACATATCCTACCATTCAGCACAACGTATCTTTGTGACTGTGGCTTCTCAGGACTGGTCCAGAGTAATGTGCATTAAAGCTTGCTTCATTTGCTATGGTCCCCTCGACAATGGGACACCATTCGTATCTGGCCCCAATGACACGCAATAATTAACAGTACCTAGAAAAATGAGTAACACCTTTTCAGAATTTTGCCTTCAACTTGGTATGCTTGGTATTTCAAAATGTCATGTAATTAAATTGAATGTGTGGTCATTTATCTGTGGACGTCAGCATTCAACAACTCTTTAATCTGTTATTACTTAAATTATAGCAACATTAAAGCCTTTTATTTGGAATATGATTAATTCTCTTGTGAATTTCCGTATCAATTGTTGAAAAAAAATGTGTTTGTATCTTGAACAATGTACATGCATGGACAAGTCAATAAAAAGTGGATAAAATGGAAACTTGATGATCATTTTGGAGGATGATATTTGTATTAGTGTTGAGCTGTAGTGCATTAAACAGAGATGCGTTTCTGCCATTCAGCCTCCCCTACACTTTATTTTTGAGTATGCTGTTTCACCATGTAGACATCATGCAGAAAGTAGAATTTGAAATAATCTAAACCTGCCAAACCCTATCCTCGAACATCAATATCCAATATTACAAGAAATGTAAGAAAAAACATCACGTGTTATGTAACCAGACAGTCTTTGAGATACTCCTTCCTTACGGCCCGTCCACACAGCGGCGGGTGTGTCTGAAACTCGACCAACAACCAATCACATGAATCTCCCGCCCCTGACACACAAGCAGCGGTTTGATTGGCAAGAGCAGGGGTGGCCAACCCGGCTCTTTGCCTAGTTTCATGCGGCTCTTCAGTTCATATCGAATTGTATATGTGTGAGTTTGGGGGAGAGACACTGACTCCTGACTAGTGTTGCACGGTGTACCGATACTTGAAAGGTACCGCGATACCCTGCCGTTAAAAACGTTACGATTCCTCCGTTTCATTAGTATCGGTACTTTAAGAATAACGGGGAAAAGTACTCCGGTGAGAAAGCGCCGTTTTAATAAGAGTCGTGTGTGTTCAGCGCTCTGCTTCCACTCCCTGCACTGCAGCCGTGCCTGCAGTCCCGCCCCTCTCAAGCACGCTCAAGTGCCTCCCCTCTCTCGTGCACTCGCTAGCTGCCAGAGCATGTGAGAAAACGAGAAGCATGGCTGCAAGTGGGAGTGCAAGTGCCGCTGCGCCTCGGCTTGTTGACAAAAAAGACGCCAGAAGCTAAATTTGGAAGTATTTGAGCGATATCTCTGACAGTGAGGGCAAGCCTACGGACACCACGAGGCCTGTCGGTAAGAAATGTATTAATTGTATTTAATACGAATTCTTGTCATTTATTTTATTTATTGTTCTCATTGTTTAAAAGTTTGTGTTATGTTTCTGGTGTGAAATAAAGCACAATAATTACATTTAAGACTGTTTCCCTTTTTTTAAGAAAAGTATCGAAAAATAATCGGAATCGCAATTCTTGACTTGGTATCGAAACCAAAATGTTGGTATCGTGACAACACTAGCTACTCCTGACAGTTAAACCTGATATTTAGTAGGTCTGTTAAGTATTGAATGCTGATAATTCGGACGTAATTTGGCCGGTCAAAGTTGTTTGGGCTCGGATAAAACCGCTCCGTTACTTTCATCCCGTGTTACTTTCGTCCCGGTGTTGCAGTATAACTTGAGACATGACAACTGGCGACATTCTATTATTTTCGTCATAGGAATCCGGGGCGTGTACAATGAGGACCCATTGTTGACTTACCAGGAAATAAACATGTCGATCGCCTCGTTTGTCGTTTACGTTCATCTTTTGCTATATCTGCCTTCCTACGATCACTTTGATGCACATTCAGTACTCGTATGTGAGGTTGTGGGTGAGAGGTGGATATCGTGATGCTTACAGGGAGGTATCAAACATTACAAAGTAGGTGACTGTGTGGATGCCTGTTCAAAACATAGCAAACTTGAATAAATCATTTAAATTATATATTTGTGTCCGACTTTCATTTGTACATCGTTCTTAATGTGATGTATAGTAGCTTTGATAGCTGTCCATACCTTCAGACAGCCTAAAAGTAAAACACAAGTCGTTTATTCACAGCCCGAACACTCATCGAGATGACTGGATCACTCATGACAGGTTGTGATCAGCTTCGATTAAATTGTGATATAAATTCTGTAGCTATTCTCAAGGGAGCACGTTTTTTTTAATGAAATACCTGTATCCCTCTCATCACAACAAGACTCTACACTGTGCAGGAAAAACAATTACATACATGAAAATAACCTTGATGCATCGGAATGAAACACACAAACTATCTTCCGTGGCTATACTGATATGTCACAGTAACGGTCAACCACAGAAACGTAGCCTAAGTCCAGCGGGGCACACGTTGAATACATATATAACATTTGTACATTGTTCTTAATGTGATCTGTATAGTAGCTTTGATAGCTGTCCATACCTTCAGACACAAGTTGTTTATTCGCAGCCCGAAAGCAGCAACGAGATGACTGGATCATCTGCAGTGTTGGGCAAGTTACTTCCAAAATGTAATACAATTACTTATTACTGTCTTTTTGAAGTAATAGGCTACATTACATTACAATATTACTGTCTCTGAAATGTAATGAGTTACACTACTTTTATATTAGCCTACTTTTGAGTTACTTTACCAAAAGAGCATCAGGACTGTTTGAGGCATATGATAGCTATGTGATTAACATGATGATTCAGCCTCTATGGAGATAGACATATGACAAGCATGATCATTTCTGACGTGGAGCTAATCTGAAGTAAACATTGAATACTTTTTTCTAAGTGATCGTAGGAAGGCAGATATAGCAAAAGATGAACGTAAACGACAAACGAGGCGATCGACATGTTTATTTCCTGGTAAGTCAACAATGGGTCCTCAATGTACACGCCCCGGATTCCTATGACGAAAATAATAGAATGTCGCCAGTTGTCATGACTCAAGTTATACTGCAACACCGGCTCTCCCTACGTGTGTATGTGTGGTGTCAGGTGTCAGTATGAGAGGATGAGAGCGCGTCTAATTTTGATGTGGCCCAAGAGCCAATCACAATAATACCTGCAATGCAGTGAACCAATCACCTTTAATCGTTGATTAAATACTATCCAGTGTTTCCCCTACCATTGTCTTGGAGGGGCGCTGCGCCCCGCCAACAGAGCCCCGCGCCGCAACCCCCCCCCCTGAAATTCCAGGTGTTATATATAAAAAAAATGTTTAAATATATACATAGCACCAAATTGAAAATAATCTATAACTACTGTCACTTTTCACATTGAACATGTGCTCTTTTATTAAATAAACTAAACGCTTTCATTTTAAGTTGTGAGTTTAGTGTTTTTGACCCTAAGAAACACTGATGCATTAATCAATAACAATAATCCACAGCTCCTCTCTCTGCTCCAGAGGATTTAAAAAATATATATCCCAATGCCACAAAAATGCATCAGTGACGTGGTTGAAATCTTGTCTCCAGAAAAAAAAAACTGAAACAAGCGGTATCAGTGACTGTGTGTTTGATGTGGCTCTTTGCAGTAACATAGAACAAATGTGGCTCTTAACCTCTGACTGGTTGGCCACCCCTGGGCTAGAGCTTGTACTGGCATATGATTCGATTGGCTGACGCTTCTGCCGAGGCTTCAAAAGTTGTGTAAAGTCGTATTTGTTGAAGGACATTTAAAGGGGTAGTAAATCTAAATGATGTCTAAACAAGTGCCAAAACATCAGGTCACTCAACTTAATAAACATATTTATTACAGATTATTAGACCCACACTGAAGATGTCTGCATTGCTGAGGTAATAACATGGTAACAATGAATGTATTAATTAATGTTATTACCTGTACTCCTTTAGGACAAACTCACACATGAATGCATGTCGTGTCGAGGAAAAGCAGTCTGCAGCGTGGTCACAGCGCCTGTAAGACAGAAGCATAAATCACAACCTTACTTTAAATTCTCAAACTCTACATTTAACATTTCTGTTAAAACACAATGAACAATGTGTGGTATTTAAATAAACATGTCGTTGTTAAACAAGATGTGTGGAAATAAAACTATTATTTTTTCAGAACTAGATTTGAGTGTTGGCAGCAAAGACTTTGTCTGAAACTAGTGTTATCCAACTCCAGAGCGTCTTAGTCAACATTCATTGAAATATAAAGATGCTATCTTTTGTTTCTATCCAACCAAATGTTCTGCTTCTAACCAAACATTTTTCCTCAATCCAGTTTTAAGCATTTAGCAATTCAAAAACAACATTTTCACTGCGCTTTTTTTCTGGCTTTCTGCACATAAAGCGAGAAAAGCACATGTATTAACACAGCAGTCTAGCAACAATCTTACGTCCACAACGCTTCATCTCATTCACTTTGAATGGGGTGACGTCACGCTTTGCCGAACTGCATTGTGCTTCCGTCGCTTCGCTTTGCTCGTGTTGCTCGCTTCAAAAGTTGAGAAAAGTTCAACTTTTGAAGCTTCGACGGAAGCGTCAGCCAATCAAATCATATGCCAGTACAAGCTCTAGCCAATCAAACCGCGTGCTTGTGAGTCCGGGGCGGGAGATTCATGTGATTGGTTGTTGGTCGAGTTTCAGACACGCACAACGCACGCTGCCGTGTGGACGCTGCGTTACTGCACAACACTTTTTTTCTCGATTTAGGTTGGAAACATCATAAAAATATAATAACTCACGTTCAACGATTCAATAGATAATCTTTGAATGTAAAAAAATACATTCTATACAGCCCTTAAGCCACATGAAAGGCGGTATATGCTGCTGAGTGACATAGTCCACTCACACATTACTAACTGTAGCTAATGCTTAAGATGTTGTATAACCTTTATATAATGCCTTCCAATGAGTGTTTCACATTTATCTGAAGAGGACATGCCACTACAACATTTCCCTTAACATCTTAACAAGACTACATGTTGGCAGTCAGGACTCAAAGGTATCCTGTTGAGTTGTTGACCTCTGGATTTATAGAGCAGTCTTTATGACAGGGACAGGGATCTGTTTTGTTGAGCAGACATGTGCATGTTGGTGAGGTAATACACATTATTATATTAGTTTAGAACTTTTCCCTTGATCTGAAAGTGGCAGTGGCATTTGACTGGAGAAAGAAAACTAGATAACATGAATGTGTACAATCGAGGATTTGAATGACTTGTAATTGCTTTCCAAAACGTTTAATGAGGGAGGAGATACATGTAGCACTTTTGGTAGGGATCAAAGATACTCAATGAATTGTGGTGAGTAACACTAAATACACTTTTGTTTGTTCACAAGTAAATTGAGGGGAGGCGTGTGGCGCAGTGGGTGTTGGGGTCAGGGGGGCACAGGTTCAAACCCCACTGCAGTCAGCATGTCGTTGTGTCCCTGAGACACTTCACCCCAAATTGCTCCTGTGGGGATCGCCCACAGTATACTTTAAAAAAGACAAACTGCTGAATGACATGCCTACAATTTGAGAAATAACTGCCTTTGAATAAAAGCATCTAAAATAAAAGATTATCAGCAACATTAATTGTTAAGTCATCTTATATGAAGCCCTTGGCTTTTGAAAGTGTTCAGGTTTTTTTGTCTACCTTAAGTATTTACGTGTGTATTGTCATAAAGGTACATACAGATATTCATTCCAAAAAGTTGTATTGACCAGCTTTCACCTATTTAATCATAGTAATTTCAAAGCAAGAACAGGAAAACACCCTGTATAAGATCACCCTTATACTTACAAGTGAGACAAGCTGCGTGAGTTCAAATACATTTTTTTTAAAAAGCTGCATTGATGTGCATTCAGGGATATAAGCCTTAAACAATCAATAAAAAAAGAAAACTCAGACACTGTCTAACAAACAATGGAAGCAGAACCAGTGGCAAGGATTATTGTTAACGGCAAACATTACAGTAGTTTACCTTGTAAAAATCTACATTACCCACAATGCAACAGACAACAAAACAGTGAGGTCAGAGCCGGCCATGTATTGAGGATAGCAGGTAACCTTCTACCTGCAGAAAAGGTGAGGCGCTACAACGGTACAGTACGCTCACATCCTCCTCACTGCAGAGTGTCCTTTACTTTCAAACTTGTAGTCTTTCATTCCAACTGTCCAGACTTAAGTCAGATCATTTGGACCTCTCATCAGACTTCTCACTGCTCCCTCTGGAGACAAGTATTGCTTTAAACTACCTGAAGCATACACAACTACCCCAGCAATTGGAAAAGGCATAACAACAAAACATTATATTGAGTAATTCATAAAATGATCCGAGAACTTAAATGACAATATAAAAACAAACAATTTGTTGATCAATTAAATGTGCAGTGTTGTTTTTCAACAAAGTAACTTGTACACCTTTCCATTGAATAGATCATGACACATGTTGGTCAGCAGGGGCTCTGCAATAGCCTAGACTCCATATGTATCAGTCAGCTGTCACCACTGTGGAAGCCATGTTGGAGGAAAAAATGGCTGCCATGATTTAATGACTTATCAGCAGCAGCTCATTCAACATAAGAACGTACACTATCTGCTAACAATGTCTTCACAAACACTTTGGCTAACTTAAACAATGTATATTAATAACGTAATCTACTTGAAAACACTATAAACAGCTTACAAATAAAACTCAACTATTATTCTTTGTAATAAACTGTATATATGAAATTATGTGTTTAATGAAAGTGAGCAGGACTGTAGGGAACACCTGGAGTGCAGACAGGTATGCTACACCATCTGCATGCATCAGATATAAATGAAGCTTGGAGATGAAAAGTAAAGTTGCTTCGTCTCATAACTGTAACCCCACTCAGCCTTAACATTAACATCACACAGGGACAACTGCAACATGTTACAAACACGCGAATCTCAGCCTCCACTTCACTATTTGATATCTTTCTTCTAAATTAATGGGTGTTCACTTCTTCGAGTGACTTGCTCCATAGTCGCTAAGTTTAGGAAACGCGAGGGAACGCTGCATCAGTGGGAGAATAAAAGGCTGAAGACAGACAGCAACAAAGGACTGTACAATGTACGCTGCCGTATTTTATTTCACTGTGGCATTTTATACCTCGATACGTGGATAACATGTGAGACACTTTGCGAAAATGTTCGTGTCTGTTGAGTTTAATAAGCAGTTATTTTACACCAAAATAAAAAAGCCCCCACCCACGCGAAGACATTTAAAGTTACGGAAAATGTGTTGTTTCTTACTAGGAACTCGATGGAAGTTCAGGTGGTGTCCCGTCAACGACCGACATTATGAGAAGGAGGTTAATGTGTACAAAACACACAGGAAAAACATTTGCCTTCCTTCTCTCCTCTCTATGGATCCACAGCGACGGCGGCCATGACAGTCCATCCGGGTACTGATGTGCTCTTGACACTCATGAAGAAGCGGATGACTATGCATTGCTAGACAAATACCAAAGTAGTGCCGTGAAGGACATGTTGTCGTAGGAAACACAGTTAAAACAACTTTTACTGAACTGGAAATATATTCTGTTTAACGCCCATAACAACCTGACGGTGTTTTGCAGCATGAGCCCTACGTCACTATGCGTGTGCCTGTGTGCCTGTGTGTGCGCGTGTGTGTGTGTGTGTCCTAGGTGGAAGAACAAGCAATGAGCAGCAATGGCGGATACGCCATTTCCTTTTGACTGCGTTTGGCTACATCTTGGCTGATATGGTTTTGTTGATCCCTGATAAGGAATTTCATTTTATCAACTCCCATAGCCTACTCTCAACACACAGCCTTTTTAGATGATAAAATCATGTCTGTCTCATATAGATTACAGACACACAGAGAGACACACACACTTACAATAATGGCGGATGTGGATGTCACTCTTCTATTACATCACACTACATTGTTTCTTTGCAGCAGTGGGTAATTCCATTCAAACATGTCAGTTCATTCCTTGTCTCTCTGCTTACCTCCATCTTTCTTTCTGCCCTCTCTTTCCTTTAACAATTTAACTGAGTAAGAGCCTTTATAATCATATGCATATCTTGTTATAAATAAGTAAAGATTTTAAAGCTATTTGCCAAGACAGTATCAAATCAAATCAAATTTGATTTCTATAGCACATTTAAAAACGATTTTCGGTCGAGCCAAAGTGCTGCACATGCTTGCAGATAGTATAAACTATGAATTTGCAAACAGTAATTCATTTGATAATTTGTGTAATTGACCTTGCTCTAACACCACCAATAACCTTAATTTTAGAGCACCTGCTAAATGTTTTCTGCAATAATGGAAAGCAAAGTCTCTAAGCCTGTGAATTGAAACATTAGAAATGGAATGATAGTATTTTCAAAACGATTACTTAAAAAAGGGGTGCCTTTTTTAAGTAATCGATTTGCAGTTGGACACTGCAAATCAGATATTCAATTATTTTAAACTCTGTTCTACTGATGTGGGTACATAGATGTAGCCAGACCCGAACGAGTTAAAATACTCAGGCCTTGAGGCAGGATGGTAAAATCAATGTGTGCCTCTTGTTTTTTCTGGTCTAAAATGTCATGACTGAACTTGCTTCTATTTTCCATCTGTTACATTAAGCTATCAACCTGGCAAATATGCTGTAATAATGTAGCACTTCAACTGACAAAAGTGAGACTGCACCAATATAAAGTAAACCAGTATAATTTCAAACCTAAAATATGCACATGAAACTTTAGGTAAATGGAAGGTGGAATGCTCCACTGTAAGTCCAGCAAAGGGGACGACTAAACACTTACATTTATTTTACAATTCCTTATTAAGATAAGAACTGGTGGTGTAGACATTGGCCATTATTTGCAGCACTACAGCTGAGTGTGGGTATGGAAACAGTAGTCCTTGTATGGAGTCAGATTTGGGTCAATATTCTAGCGCGTAAAACAAGCTACTCACCAGCGGAAAATGTGCTTTTACACGTGCATAAAATGACCCTCACGCGCAGATTAAACCCCCGCGAGCAAATTAATTGATATATATATATTAGCTGTACACTTTACGAATATAATAGTTTTTTATGGACAACTTTACCATTCAATCTCGTCCAACTGATCTTGCAGCTGTCACTCCTCGGCTCTTGGTAGTTCAGGCATTTATCAAACCTGGCAACTCCGGGCTTCCTGGCAGCTGTCAATCAAAGTCCAGTGGCTCCGCCCCAAAGTGTCAGAAACTTTTCACGCGCGAGTAGACAGACTCCGTGAGCGAGTGAGGCTGACACTCCCGCGAGCGAGCGCATAGCCGCTCGCGGGGGTTTAATCTGCGCGCGAGAGTCATTTTATGCGCGTGTAAAAGCACATTTTCCGCTCGTGAGTAGCTTGTTTTGCGCTAGAATATTGACCCAAATCTGACTCCATAGTAACAACTAAATTATGCAACAATGTAGCAAAGACAGGCAAGAACACTGTCAGCTAGTTTACATGTATGTAAATAATGTTGGATTTAAAATGTTTGGAAGAAAATTCAATCAACATGTTTGTTACACCTCAAGGAGACACAGGGTGTTTGTGTTTTTTCATATTGATGGCAGGACACAGATACATGTATCACCAATTGGAACACACAAACAAAAGCACAAAGCAAAAACAGTGCTATCTGACCCTAAAGAGACAGAACTGTGTGTACCTGAGCACAGTGACTGTTGGTAAACACAGAACTATGAGCTCAGTTCAGTCTCATAATACACACATGCACACAGAAGGATCCACACTTGTGTTTTTCAATGCACACACAAATGTGTTCCGTTTCATATGTAAATAAAATTCCAAATACAGAAAAAAGTTTTACATATGTATTTTTGATCCTCACATATTTGTTTTCCGTTTAAATCCCCTGAACCTGCAAACACAAACCGCTTTCTGTGCACGGATCGCTGTGCATTCGTGTGTGGGTTTTTTGAGACTCCCCTGACGGTCAGCCGATTCGTACTTGTAATTGTTTCTATCTATAGCCAATCAGATGTCTCCTTCATTTTAAGCCAATCACATGAGCGCGCCCCCACGAGGGTATGATTTCTTACGTTCATGACACTTCATGTACGCATTTTGCGCTGTCCGGTCAGCTCGCTAAACAGAGGGCGGAGCTTCAGGTAATCATTCAGAGCTGCGTGTCTCCGTCAGACTCAGCAGCTGATCTGATCTCTCTCTCGCGTCCGGTTACTTCACTCGCGTTTATGTCCATATCGATCAGATCCAGCTCTCCTGATCGGCCTTTATAGAGAGCACCGATCAAACTATTAAGAGTGAATATCGGCCGATAATGACCGGCGGGGCTCCCCCCCGTTGACAGTTCACTGTCTAGCACTGGCTTCGTAGTGCACTGATCGATTAGGCTAAGCTAACCTGTAGCTGCTCCCTCCACACTCACAACAACTTCATACAGACATCAATAATGCAGCTGTATTCGCCATACAGGAAAAACACATTTAAAACGGGTTTCCCTTCCGTTTTTGTGTACACAAGCATTCATCAATGGTTCGGAAAGTGGCGCTGTACCCTAATAATATAAAGGCTTGTATTTGCGTGCATTTCCTGTTCGGAAAGTGGCGCTGTACTGAGAGTGGAGGTGTCCTGAGATTAGCGCCTGCAGGCAGGCTCCATGGACCTGTCAGCTCCGGACAGCGCAAAATGCGTACATGAAGCGCTACGTCATGAACGCAAGAAATCTACCCTCATGGGGGCGCGCTCATGTGATTGGCTTAGAATTGAGGAGACATCTGATTGGCTATAGATAGAAAAAATTACAAGTACGAATCGGCTGACCGTCAGGGGAGTCTCAAAAAACCCACACACCAATGCACAGCGATCCGTGCACAGAAAGTGGTTTGTGTTAGCAGGTTCAGCGGTTTTAAACGGAAAACAAATATGTGAGGATCAAAAATACAACTTTTTTCTGTATTTGGATTTTATGTATATGTAGCCGATATGAAACGGAACACATTTGTGTGTGCATTGAAAAACACAAGTGTGGATCCTTTTGCGGATCATGAAATACAAGTGTGAATCCTTCTGTGTGCATGTGTGTATTATGAGACTGTTCTGAGCCCATACAGAACCACCCTGACCCGGTACAGACTCAGTGACTGTTGGTAAACACAGAATTACCCTGACCCGGTACAGACTCAGTGACTGTCGGTAAACACAGAACCACCCTGGCTGTCAGTAAACACAGAACCACCCTGACCCAGTACAGACTCAGTGACTGTCAGTAAACACAGAACCACCCTGACCCAGTACAGACTCAGTGACTGTCAGTAAACACAGAACCACCCTGACTCGGTACAGACTCGGTGACTGTCGGTAAACACAGAACCACCCTGACCCAGTACACACTCGGTGACTGTCAGTAAACACAGAACCACCCTGACCCAGTACAGACTCGGTGACTGTCAGTAAACACAGAACCACCCTGACCCGGTACAGACTCTGTGACTGTCGGTAAACACAGAACCACCCTGACCCGGTACAGACTCGGTGACTGTCGGTAAACACAGAACCACCCTGACCCATTACAGACTCGGTGACTGTCAGTAAACACAGAACCACCCTGACCCGGTACAGACTCAGTGACTGTCAGTAAACACAGAACCACCCTGACCCGGTACAGACTCGGTGACTGTCGGTAAACACAGAACCACCCTGACCCGGTACAGACTCAGTGACTGTCAGTAAACACAGAACCACCCTGACCCGGTACAGACTCGGTGACTGTCGGTAAACACAGAACCACCCTGACCCATTACAGACTCGGTGACTGTCAGTAAACACAGAACCATCCTGACCCGGTACAGACTCAGTGACTGTCAGTAAACACAGAACCACCCTGACCCGGTACAGACTCGGTGACTGTCGGTAAACACAGAACCACCCTGACCCGGTACAGACTCAGTGACTGTCAGTAAACACAGAACCACCCTGACCCGGTACAGACTCTGTGACTGTCGGTAAACACAGAACCACCCTGACTCGGTACAGACTCGGTGACTGTCGGTAATCACAGAACCACCCTGACCCGGTACAGACTCAGTGACTGTCAGTAAACATAGAACCACCCTGACCCGGTACAGACTCAGTGACTGTCAGTAAACATAGAACCACCCTGACCCGGTACAGACTCTGTGACTGTCGGTAAACACAGAACCACCCTGACTCGGTACAGACTCGGTGACTGTCGGTAATCACAGAACCACCCTGACCCGGTACAGACTCAGTGACTGTCAGTAAACATAGAACCACCCTGACCCGGTACAGACTCAGTGACTGTCAGTAAACATAGAACCACCCTGACCCGGTACAGACTCAGTGACTGTCAGTAAACATAGAACCACCCTGACCCGGTACAGACTCAGTGACTGTCGGTAAACACAGAACCACCCTGACCCGGTACAGACTCAGTGACTGTCAGTAAACACAGAACCCTGACCCGGTACAGACTCGGTGACTGTTGGTAAACATAGAACCACCCTGACCCAGTACAGACTCAGTGAGCACAGCCTAGCCTATACAAAAAATAATGGCTCCCAAAAGAGGAGCGCTTCTGCCAGCTGCACTTTTTGACAGAAAGCATAACTCCAACCAAT